AGGTATTAAAATTTAATCAATTTGCATAAGTATTATAATAAGAAATATTTGTAATATTGTTTTTACCCGACTGCGTTTTTGCGTCACGTTGTTGCGACGCGACGCAAACAACGTGAAACACGACGCGACGTGCAAAAGGGGAATTGTGTCAATTTAGTGTATGTTCCTTTACTTTCACACTAGTCAGCTATTTATATCCCATCATACGTGAACTCTCTTAGTATTTTCTGTACATAAATGTAGGTACTTAGTTTATCTCTGTATTCATTTTATACCGATTAAAAAATATTTATTTATATTCGCATATCGGATCCAGTTAAAAAATACCTGGAATCTATCTAAGTCTATTTAAATTAAAGATCAGATGAACGTCGCGTTCATTTCCAACTAATAAATCGTCTTTTTACCCGACTGCGCAACGCAAAGATGTGCGAAGCGCAACACGTAGAGAAGTTAGGTTATATTGTGTTTATCAGCCTATGTACAAAATATATTATGTCATGTGCCACACATTAGAGACCAAACGCGGGAACTAATTTTGATGATTCATAAGTCAATCAATTTGTCTTAATTTTGCGAGGATCCCTGTGTGTGATCCAGTGTGATCCATTTTTAATAAGGAGAATTGCTAAATAATGGATATCATAACTAACATGTGTTTAGTGCTGGTTCCGTGACACTCACAAGATAAAGGCGTGAGAATCATTATCATCAAAATCGGTCCACGTATTAGATTTTATTGGCAATGAATACCATGACAACTAGTACTGCGAACTTTAAAAAAAAATCTAATCAATTTAGTGGGTGGTAATAGTACATTACTGCATCGTTCAGCAAATGAGGCATTGATGGACGAACGTGTAATCAAAATAATAGTGTACCTATCTAATGCCGATTCTTATGTACTAAATATAATTTTAACTTTAAAAAATATTGTTACTATATATTTATATTTTGAATTATGTAATGAATGTGACTTCAGACGTATCTCTCATTTTTCAATTTGACGACTCTGTATAAAACAGGGAGAAAAAAACAGTCCTTTCTGAGTTTCTTGCCGCTTCTTCTCAGTACGAGGTCTCCCGCCATAGTTTTGCGAACCGATGGCGTAGCTTCTTGACCTTCACAAGTGCTTGTAATAGCCTAGACTGAATAAATGACTTTTCATTTCATTTCATATCACTCTAGAAATTGATGAAATTAAATTCAACCAAAATTCAACATAATGGCAAAGAGCAATATAAGTTCAAAGGGTTTATAATGTCAATCATATCGATTATATTATATATCGATTCCTCGTTGGAATGATACAACTGAACCGGCAAAGTGCGAGTCGGACTCACAGACAAAGGTACCTTCGTTAAAGGACAGTAATAGCTCAAAATGATTTTGCTTTAAAATGTCACAATATTTTAATTAAGGTAAATATATAAATATACCTATATTTTGCCATAATTTTCCCATCGTCTTAAGAGGCTTCTTTATCGTTATAATTTTTATTATTTTTAAAGCATGTAACTGCTTGATGTTTAAATCTAAAGAAAATATAACTAGAAAAAATTCCATGAGGGCCGCGGTAGCATAATTGGTCAGTGCATTCGCCCGGATTGCGAAGGGTGCGGGTTCGAGTCCCGTCTGCTGCCTGGTCCGCGTGGAATTTTTTCTAGTTATATTTTCTTTAGATTTAAACATCAAGCAGTTACATGCTTTAAAAATAATAAAAATTATAACTATAATTGCTATTTCTTCTTTCAAATGTTTAATACTTGTAAAAGTATTCATTTGACATTGTGGGTTTACCTATAATGCGAAGAGATGGCGCTGCCCTGCAGCTTAAGAATAGCTAGAAAGAATTTCGACGCGGTCCATGAGGGCCGCGGTAGCATAATTGGTCAGTGCATTCGCCCGGATTGCGAAGGGTGCGGGTTCGAGTCCCGTCTGCTGCCTGGTCCGCGTGGAATTTTTTCTAGTTATATTTTCTTTAGATTTAAACATCAAGCAGTTACATGCTTTAAAAATAATAAAAATTATAACTATAATTGCTATTTCTTCTTTCAAATGTTTAATACTTGTAAAAGTATTCATTTGACATTGTGGGTTTACCTATAATGCGAAGAGATGGCGCTGCCCTGCAGCTTAAGAATAGCTAGAAAGAATTTCGACGCGGTCCATGAGGGCCGCGGTAGCATAATTGGTCAGTGCATTCGCCCGGATTGCGAAGGGTGCGGGTTCGAGTCCCGTCTGCTGCCTGGTCCGCGTGGAATTTTTTCTAGTTATATTTTCTTTAGATTTAGGCTTCTTTATCATCATCGTCAGTCCATTAATGTCAAAAACACCGGCTCTACTCAATGGTCAAAAGATGTTCGCCAATAACCGAGGAGATGGTGTACAACGTGTAGAAAATTTGTTATAGCAAGCTCAAATCGTCTGCAAAATAGATATAAAGCATGAAACGACGCATTTTTTTTATTCGAGGCGCATCTAATTACCCCGCTCCACCTCATGTTAAGTGTAAGTGGCGTCCAGTCGCGAAGATAAATGATGCGATAGAAGGTGTGGCGCTCCAGTCATCCTCACATTGCCGGCCTGAACCCAATCCCTACCCCGCGGAGATTTGGAACCCTACTCACCAGCAGAAACACAACACCAGCAACAAGGTAGTATTATTTTACCGTGGTCTTATGTACGGTAGAGGTTGCTTCCCCAGACGGGCGTAAAATCAATCGAGCGGGAAATCCGCTGTGTCCTACCTCTCTTAAGGAAAGCATATCTTCATATGAAACATTTATTTTACCTTTATAGGTCTTGATTTGCTACAATGACCGCTTGCCATTCCTCGGCAGTCGCGACACCAAGTTTATCTTGCCTCTTATCAAACGTTGGCATAAGCGGAGTAGGCAATCACTGATGGTCTTATCTTTCCCTGACAACAACAATAGGCAACTTTTTCGAATATCATTTGTGATTTGATTAATACTTACTTCCTAATTTTGGTAATTTGTATTTTAACACGTTTCGTTTACTAAACATAATCATATTTACTAACGTGTATGACATCATATTATTATATGCCTTGATCAGAAGAACATCAAAGATACAATGGTGCAAATATTGAATTTCTGCTCGGATTGAAGCGCTCATCTGGAGAAGTAACCCAACGACGCAGCGTCAACCGTCACAATGATCCGTTCAATTCAGTTATTTAAACTTGACTATCGTTTATCAAAAAGGTATAAAAACTTAAGTAAGTCTAAATTTACAAAAAGATCCAGGACCTGTTCCAAAATATAGTTCCGTACCATCACAATAAAGTTACGCAACGTTTTGGTCGTGTTATTATTCTGTATGAAAGCATTCCAATGCTTTACTCTACTCTACACCACGGGGTTGGGGATAGGTAAAGGGTTGGCCTTGCTGATGTATCAATCACCTCTATCTATATATCAGGCAGTTGTTACTCGTTAGACTGAGTGTCTGAGTCTTACCAATTATGTTTTATTTCTGCCCCTTATCACAAAATCTAATACACGAGGAAGTATTTACGGCCGATCGCCGCGACCGTAACTCTAATAGCGTGTGAGGAATTGTAATTATTTTTTAAACATTACATTATATAGTTTGTAATTTAATTGGCAAATAGTTTGAACGTTATTTTCTTTGTTTTTATTTTAATGGAAACGATACCACAAATGCCGAGTTAATAATTAACGTCTACCAGTTACATTTCAAAGATAAATAAAACGCCTTATATGTAGTTTTCTACTAGAATTTATAATTTACTGGCGAGGCGACAAATATTGTAAACGTGAGTCAACGCCTATTTATTCTGTATAGAGTCAGCTTCCTCTTCCGATCGCTGTTTTGAATTCTTCTATTCATCTGGGCCGGACGGATTCCGCTTTATACGAAATAAATTTTCCATGTTGGACCAAAATATACATAGCTTCTGTTTTGGAGCTCTCCCGACAATCAAAGTATATCCCCTTATATAATCATCGCATTAACTGTTTACGCCGCGGCCTCACCATTTTAAATCCAGATTTCGAACATCGAAAAATTCGGTACCAAATTTTATTCAATGATGAAAGAAATTAAATTGATCCAAATGACCGACTAGGCGCCGAAATTGCTTTGTGACGTGAGAAAGCATGGTCGGGCTTAAATAGTAAGTATATTATTAAATTAGGCTCATATCACAATACATACTTTCTGATTTCACATGATTTCTGAGACAGCACGCTAATTCTTGTATGTACCATGTAATTTTAGTTGCTTAAATGGTATAAGTTTCTTTATTATAATTAAGAAATTGTCCAATTAGATACTTATTACTAGTAGAGCAAATTACAAGAGTTCATTGTAAATACACATCACATTAGCCGTCATTGAGTTGTTGGCGCCATTTGATGGAATTCAGACAGTCAAGCTAGTACTTATTCCAAACATTTCCTAGTTGGTCATGTTATGTAGAACTAATGTACCGATAGACTTGCATACTTAAGCAAACAATATTATTTACACATTAACCAACATTTTGATAATGTTGGGTGGGGCTGTGGCCCTCACAGATCCCCGTAAAACCTTTGTCATTTAAGTAGTTAGGTTGGTATGACCACCACCGAACTGACGCAACTTTATATAAGCAGTATTACGGAGACTTTATGTGTGGACATATCGTTTGTAGTTCTTAAATAAATAATTGCATTAGTCAGTCAATGTAGGTATATAGTTTATTACTATTACTACTACGGTGAATACAAAAATAGGTTAGTTGTTAATTTCTACAAGGTAGAACCGTTAAAAAAAATCTTTTAAAGCACGCTGTATAACTTTTTAATGGTCATCACGTGTCGCAAATAAATAAATTTTGCAATTTTGCACTTAGACTTTATCAGCTGGCGTATTCGATTTTATACATTTTTTGTTTTACTCCTAGTCCAGTATGGAATCTAAAAATACGTATCTGTAATCAAGTATCTCATTTCTATTTTCTTTTACAGTAAACCTACAGCTGGCAGTTTGTATGTTAACGGACGAATCAGAGAAGAAAAGTGCTTCAGGCGTAGAAGCTGCTACATTCTTCAAGATGACAGAATTCAGGACGCGCTCTCGATAAGAGAATCGTTGACCATCGCTGCTCAACTGAAGCTGGGCAATCATGTTAGCAGAGAACAGAAGCGGCGAAGGGTTGGTAATGTTTTCAACACCGTCAAACTATAAATTCAAATTTAACATTAACATTCGATATGGTTTGTGCAGTTAAGTATGTTACAAGCACATGTAAAAGTCGAAAAATTACGCTTTCCGTTCGCAAATCTATTTCGAGAGACCTTGTACTGAAGAAGCGGCAAGAAATGCAGAAAAAACATCATAAAATACCCTACTGCTGGAATGTAGGCCTATCCCAAATATAGAAACATTAGAGAGAACGGTCTCTGTCCGAGGTTGTATTCTATACAAGGTACCTAGATCATACCTTTTTTACCTAGAGAAAAAATGCATTGTGCATACTACATCATGACAATAATCACTGACCATCCGCAGTCGCAGGAGGGGCATTCACGATTCACATTCGTGCTCACACGAGTCACTACGCGCCCCACACTCCACCCCTGCGCCTGAAAATAATTTTGCCGTATATGAAAAAAACAGATTTCTATATATTTTCATTTTCTATGAAAATTTGAAGCTTTTCTGATAGCTTTTACACAAAGTTGCCAAACACAGAATTTTTATCATCGTAATTATGGAGCTAAAATCTCGTAATTTGCCTTTTAAACCTCTTATATTCTTAAAGGTGCCCTAGTCACTTATGATAGAATGAAAAACAACATGTTTTATATCGCGAGGATTTCCCTGTCAACTGGTCAACTAATAATACTATAATATTGCCTACAGTGAAATGTTATATTATAAATTTCTCTGACAAAATCTCGTACATAATTGCACGATATATAGAAGTGTCGTCGTACCTCATATCTAACACCAGAAATCTCGTCTTTGTACGAGGAACCTCTTATGTTGGGCAACCTTACTTTTACACGTGGAAAATCAGTTTGATACAATTTATTATTAAGAAAGTATGTGCCACTTAGGATCACTAAAATAATTTCTAAGGCTTGTTAACATATTCAAATTCTTGATATCTATCATAGTCCCTTGACCTTTGTTACGTTACTACATAGCGCATTATACTAAAACAGTTATTTACCAAACTTATTTGTAAATGAAGATATGGGAGGGCTTGTTAACTACCTTTTATGAAAATGTGAGCGTAGGCATCAACAAACATTACTTATCTAATCGATGAACATTGAAAGCTGATGTGTACTCTGATGATCAGCTCTTCATCTTTTATAGGAATTTAGCCTTCACGAAAATGGCTATGGCGTGACTATAGTATACATTATAACAACATAGCTCTTATTCAATTGTAATAAAATCTCTGATACTCTTAAATTATAAATTCCACCCTCTAATTCACCTAGACGTGTAATCTGCTCTTTCAAAACATCTTATTTAAATTACTACCTCTTTTAAAAAAAATCGTAGTACCTCAGTAACAACTGCATTTTTTTAATGAGTTATTGACATAGTTTATTGGTAAACGAATGCTACCATGGTCAGGTTTTTAAAGGGTTATTATACCTACTCTTTTAGCATTTCCAACTGGTACAAGGCCGTTTATTAATAAAAAAATATTTGAACAATCGTAGACTAATCCAACAAAAGTTAAAAGAATCAATGAAACCTATTGTACTCCCGAATTCCATAAATGATAAAAATTCATTATTGGGAACAAAAAGGCTCACGATCATGCACCGACAACAATGTCTAAAGTCTGTTATGTTTGATAATGACGATAATTAAATCAGTTCCGTTATACAAAGTGGGCTATTTTTACGCGCTGTGTGTCAGTAGTTACTCGGTTATACGGACATTAATTATCTATTTATAGACGAAAACTCTACATTTCAATTTAAATGCTAACTCTAGCTAACTCTTGGAAAGAGAAAAACAACTAGCCTAGTTTTACATGAATCAAGAGCTTTAAATACCAACCTTAATTACTTTTATTTCATTTCTTCATCAAACTACCTGTGGAATAATTTACCTATAATTTTATCCTAATATTAAATATGAAGTTCTGTCGCTTTGTTTTACAAAGTACCCTTATGGTGATTTAGAAATAAATTTGTATCTAGCCATCTTACATCTAACATTCATAAAATATATAAATCAAAAAATATATATAATAATCTTACCATAGAATAATCAACTTTACTTACTCTCTTGTGTAGATAAATATGTATACATGGTTATCTGACAATAACAGAATAAAGTTTTAACGCACATATAGGCAATTCCTTGTTAGCAACAACCCACTTTAATGTAAGTCTACTAGTGTTACTGACTGCTTTGAGGTCAATCGTTGAACCAGTCACAGTACCAGTTTGGCCACTATTTTGTTATGAGTAAAGTTTAGTGGCATTGGACGAATGCGTCACACAATCTTATCTACTGACATTGTTTTCCTACATTAACGCTACACTTAACAAGCGATACTTGTAGTACCTACCTAGTAGAAAAACGGCAAGCGCTGTTTACTTCCTGTTTTTTTTAAATATTTTGTTATCAATAAAAAATAATGAAATTAAAGTAATGTAAACGGTAAGGTTTGCTTTGTTGGTTTGAATATACGAGTATGTCCCTTTTAAAGTGGCATAGCGTGAAAAATTGAACAGCATATTAAAAGGTTCGGGAAAGTCTTTCCGCATTATAGTATGTATGAACTTGGAATAAAATCTCTTTGGCGATACCATTTGTATCTGGCTGGTTTTGGTATCATTAAAAAGTTTAAATTTTAGAGAAGATAATTCCGAATTAAAATTAGGAAAATGTGTGGTTTTCATTTGTTTTTCTTATTGTCAAGAACTAATGAAAAAAATCGATGCATTTTAAAATTTTACTACTAAAAAGGGAAAAATGCCACACAAGCCGCATAAAAAAACTGTGATGTTTATGGATCCAGTGCAGTGTCTGTGAGAGTAGCACAAAGGTTTAAGCGTTTTCAATCCTGAAATTTTGATGTCAAAAATGCACGTCGCCTTGATCGCCCAGCTGCGGATAAAATAGATGCCATTTTTGAAAAAGTGGTGCAAGATCGGCATATCAGTAATGTTGACGTAGCTGGAGAACTAGCAATTGACGATAAAACAGTTCTAACGCATTTGAAAAAAGCTGGGTACAACAAAAAGCTCGATATTTGGGTGCCTCACGAAGTCATTATAAGAAACCTAATAAACCGTGTACTCATTTATGATTCTTTATTACGACGTAATGTAACCGAACTATTTTTGAAGAAGCTGATAACTGGTGCTAGAAAAAGGATCACGTACGACAAGAACGTGCTAATAAGGTCGTGATCGAGCCGGCCAGGCTTCACAGACTCTGGCGAAACCCGGGTTTACTCGCAACAAGGTGATGCTGTGTATATGTTGGGATTTGAAGGGTATTATTCATTATGACTATTTCAGCCAGGCAGTACCATCGATTTTGAACTCTACTGCGAACAACTGATGAGAGTACAGCAAGAAGTTGAGACAAAGCGGCCGAAATTAATCAACAAAAGAGGTGTAGTTTTTCATCATGATAACGCTAGACCTCACACATTTTTAGCCACTCACCAAAAATTAAAAGAGTTTGACTGGGCGATGTTAATGCATCCACCGTATAGTCCTGACCTTGCACCTTCAGATTTCCACCTGCTTCGGTCTCATCGGAATTCTTTAGGCAGTGTCAGATTAACATCACGAGTAAACTGCAATAGCTGATTTTTGCGGTTTTTTGATCAGAAGCCCCAAAATTTCTAGAGCAATTGGATCATGACCTTACCTACAAGATAACAAAAAGGTTATCGAACAAAATGGCACCTACATAATTTAGTTCAAAGTAAATAAACTTTATTTAAAAAATATATGAATTTTCATTTAAAATACGAAGAAACTTTTCCCCCTACCTTATATGATAGACTTATATCGTATACAGCTTCAAATGCCAAACTATGCCACATACTTCGCTATGAAAACGAACGTTCTTCCTCTACAATAACAATTTGGTAATTTCCTTTCATTGCCAGCCTTTTTAAATTTTGAAGTAACATTTGACATAAAACCGTTCATGATCCTTGACTTTGCTTAAATAAGTATACAATACATACAGTGTAATCATATCACCATATTTTTGAAAGAAAATATTCATACAACGTTTTTGTTATTCTTCAGTATGTGACTAAATAAATATTCAAAACACAAACATAAAAAATAGTTAATGATTTTTTTTACATATCCATATCCCTAGAATGAATGTTACATAAGTAAAAAAAATATCGTCTTTTTCTTATTATAAGGTTAATTTGTAGTAAAATCAAAAAGCACGAAAATTTTGAGTTAGATCCGCTTTCATTCTTAGGTCCACTTGCAACAAAATTTGCTAAATCTCAATTTAACTAAAACCAGATTTAGACTATACAAGAAAGTCAAACTGACATTATCGTTTTGACATTTTTCTGACGGTTAAAGCTAGCTTTAGTTGAATCGAAATTTAACAAATTTGCTGCAAGTGGACCTTAAGGTACATGTTTAAGGAATGTCAGATCATCCTAAGAATGGTGATCTGACATTGTGAATTTATAATTTTACGAGTTTAAACACACACACACTTTAATAAAAAATTTCGTACTATCTTCGTCCCGACATTTCGACCAGGTTACATCGGTCGTGGTCAAGGGACGACTATATTTATAGTACAACGCGAAAGTTTAAAAGTGAACTGACATTCTACCCGTTGACGCCAGACTTTCGTTCTCAGGTACAGGAAATAATAACGTCTCTCGGTCTCAGCAGAGCGCAGAACACTCGCGCGTGCAACCTCTCCGGCGGCCAGAAGAAGCGGCTCGCCATCGGCCTGGAGCTGGTTAGCGACCCCAGCGTCATGTTCCTCGATGAACCAACCAGGTAGGTACCAAGTTTTACTTATATCAAAAACAACAACAACTGTTCATTTCCAGAGATCTTTTATTACACGGACAATCAAATTATGGAATCAGCTGCCCCACGCTGTTCCCTCAGTACGATAATATGATCCGCTTCAAGAGATGCTTCATTAGAGTGTTCCACCAAAGTCAATGGTATTACTGATGTAACATGGGGTGACCACTTAAGATCAGGCCAGTCTTCTCGTCTGCCTTTAAAGGCAAATAAAATAAAATAAAACCTACACTCGGTAGGAATGAAGTTTAAAAATAAATAGAAATATATACGAACACATAATACGCTAAGAAACAGCTGACGGTTGTGACGGAAATACGAGTATCTTACACTTTATTCGTCCGCCATCCGTCAAGTTCGAAAAAGGAACTTCGTTCTAAAAGAAATACCTAAAGTAAAATTTCATATTATATGATTTTTACCTAAATTAAAATTCAGTACAATTTATCATAATGGATAATTTACTTTCTCTATGGAGTAAACTATCTTTTTTTTGCGTTAGCTTTTGTGTTGGCGGATAAAGATTTCAAATAAAATAACAAAGTTACTTTTGGGTGTTACGAAGATAGTACAAAAGCTATATTCAGTTTAAGATACCGGTTGATCTATGTTATCGACAGTCGATATCTTTATGTAATATTTCTTTTAAATTTAAAAAAGAAAAAGGTTCTTGTGCTTTGCGGTATTTACTTTTACAACTTTAGATTTCTATTCATCTACAATGTTAATAATTAAAATAACATCGTATTTAATAAGAGTTATTCTCATTGAATTTGATATATACTTAGTGAACCTAACTGAAATATATTACACAAAATACCATTTTATATTTAATAATGTCAATAATTAAGAAATGTCATGGTTACTTCATTCAGAGAGTACGTTTCTTATGAAAATAAAATTAAAGATATTTCTTACTTAACTTCTTTTATCTAATCAAGAAAATTCAATTTGGTTAATGCAGTCATCATCAACAGCCTATCTTAGGCCACTGCTGGACATGCAGTCATAGTCCTAATTAAAAGTGAAACTACCCATAATTAAAAATAACACTTTTTTCATTTATTGAAAAGATTCATTATTTCTAATTAGTTTAGAAAAAGACCTTAAAAGTGAGCATTGACTGTTGCCAAATGAGACAATGAATTCACGGTCGTAGTTTTTACTTACTTGAAAATAATTCCTACTTTTTACTTTTAGTCAGTACAAAAAAGGCAGAGATTGGAAGTAACTGAATCATCCACTTTGTAATAAGGAAATGCCACAATATGCAAACCACAATGTGCAATAAAATTAATTTGTTTAAAGTAAATAAACGGTTGTTGTTATAGGGTCCATATTTGTATTAACTGATTACTTTAAACAAAATGTAGTTGTTTTGCTTAATACCAAGTTGCATATTTATCCAACACTTAATTAAAAAATGCATAACATACACTGACATGCATCATTCTCACTTGTATACATTAAGTGTACGTAGCATAAACGTACCAATTATTTTGCAAATCTGTGTAGAGATTTCATGCGACGTAAAAGGCATCTAAACACTTACCATTTTACACCGAAGTAAATTATTATAATAAAATAGCCACTTTATTAACACATATAGATAACACTCTTCTTACTCTTCCAGTGGTCTCGACAGTTCGATGTGCAAGCAGCTCGTCTTCCTGTTCCACCAGTTGGCTCGTCAGGGTCGCACGGTGGTGGTTTCAATGCACCAGCCGTCCGCGGCGTTACTGCAGATGGTTGACAAGCTATATGTGGTTGTGGCTGGAAGTTGCGCCTACACGGGCTCGATACCTGGTCTCCTGCCATACTTGCAGCAGATGAACCTGATGTGCCCACCATACCATAACCCTGTAGACTTCCGTGAGTATTACAATGTTTCAAATTTCAAAATCTGTAGTGCCAAACATAAACAGTATAAGGTAATATGGTCTGTTTAATGACAAGTCAACACCGTAGGATGTCTACGCGCTTTCATTCACGAAAAAGTCTCTCACGACATCCTAGCCAATTCCCTATCGGCGGAGGCTGGTGTACTTTGCAATATGATAGCAAAAATTCGAGGGGAAAGGGGGATGTGAGGGGAACGGAGGACGTACCATGACGTCACATAACGTGACTCGTGACATGACGTCACACTTTTTCGTACATGTAGCCAGTGTTCATCGATTTATAAGACTTTATCACGTCAAAAAGTGTCTCACGAAACCACTTTTCTATATTTATTATAGATATTAACGGGATTGTTACCATGTACCTTGTTTTTTATGAGTCTCCGATATTTCGGCACTGTTGCAAGCTAGGCACTGTTACTCCGTGATCATGGCGCTTGCAACAGTGCCGAAATATCGGAGACTCATAAAAAACAAGGTACATGGTAACAATCCCGTTAATATCTATAATGCTAGTGACCATGAAAGTTTAAAACAATATATCACTTTTCTATACCTCCTGAAACTTTGGTCACCTTACTGCCGAAACACAAAAATACTACAGTATTCTAATAGTAAGAAAAAACACTTAACAAGTGGCGATTGCAAAGACATTGCCAGTGTTTTAGGTTATCACGCGGGCCGTGTAAAACTATTTTTCAAGATTTCATTCTCTCTTCGATAAACCCAAAGATGTAGAGCATGGTTGATTTTTCGCTTGATTTCTTGATTATTGGATAGGTTGCTTAAACGAGTGCTCAGATTCGAGCTAGCTTAGAAAGAACCAGAGTAAATTAACACTACTTTTTGGCACACGAGGCACGAAGCATAGAATTGAATTTTATGCAGTGAAGGTGGTGATGGCTGGATGACACTGAACACAGGTGTGGGGGAGTATTTCACTACGCTTTAATTTAATAAAATGTATATCTCTCATTTACTTAAATTAATGAGTGTCGCAAGGTAACGCCTTATACTTTGTACTAAAAAACATGAACACCTGCACTCGAATCGGGGATTATCTTACACTATCGCTATAATACGAGATCGGTATCTAATTGCCATCAATTTGAAATTCATAATTACCTATGAATTTCAAATTGAAGAGAATTTCTAAGATAGTGTGGAACGGTCCCACATCTATGAACAAGAATCCTTTTACAAGTTGCTGCGTTTAAATGGCAACTAATAATAATAATAATGGCAACTTGTAGGTTCTCGGCCACTCAATAATTTAGTCAAGTCAGGCAGATATTACCACGAAATCGTGCCTTATCGCACCGCCTGCCGTCTACTATACTATAGTTACCGCAGTTAACTCAGTACTAACTGCCATCTTTTCAACAATTACTTGGTTAATCATCTAAACTAACGCACGCACTTGTAATGCAAAGTTCTTATATTAAATTTAATACAAATCTTGTTTAAACCTCATTCTATCGCTATTTTAAACAGTTGACAAAGATAGATGGCGATGTTCGAAGAGATTTTAATGTTTGTTTCAATAAATATTGCTATCAAAATAAGCTTACACCACAATAACGTAAACACTGTAATTCACTTTGTTTTACTACGTGTTTAGAATATATCTCGTATTATTATTTTATATCATTGCGTTTTAATATTAATATGTGATTTTTTTTGTTACGTTATTGTAGTTGCAATAAAGATAAAACCAGAGCAGGATGAACTGACAGCAGATAATAAGGTTCCATTATCACCGTCTAGGTAAGGAACTGCCTAAAAAGTTAACTTCACATCTAAGGAAAAATATATATAAAGCAAAGCCGTATAGGGACGATACGCGGCGAGTTCAAGAGATCATTATTCTTAAACAAATAACCACTTAGCCCAGGAAATGTAGAAATTGTGCTGGTCACGCTACATCCACAAGTGAATGAGCTGACAGGTTCAAAATCAGGGACTTCCGCTAACACTCACGCCAGAAAGAACAAGCGCTTCATTAAAAAAAAACCTACGCATTTATTATTTCAAATGCGTGTGAGGTCGCATCTATTTGTCTTAGTTATACATTTACGGAATAGTAAAATATTTTTACATTATATATAGGCATTATTTTTTATTTTCGAACATTTCGTTCCTACATCAGATTACGATTACGAGAGTTGTTCGTGCTTGGGGTACTACTTGGGGAGTACCCCTAGCACGAACCATTATCAAATTCGAATAGTTTGCAAACCGAAATGTCAATGTCAAATTTTGTATGGAAACTTGAACAGCAGCACCACTTTGGACGTAACGGGAACTAAAAATCAGTACACATTTGACAATGACATTTCGGACTCGAAAACGTTACGAATTCGATATTGATTCGTGCTAGGGGTACAGTACCCCTTTTTAGCGACAATGCTAATTTGCCCTGTATATGTATCGAATCAGCTAAGCTAATCGAAGAACGTCACGTACAAATCGTGTCGCAATAAGTAATGGTTCAATAATAACGCTTTTTATTTTGACTCAGTTCTTGTCTTGTTACTAAAATATAAAACAACAAAAAGTAAGTAGATAATAATAACTGATACGCTCCCAGGTTAATCACCAATATAGTACTCAATTTTTATCCAACGGGGCAATAAATTTTCTTCAATACAAGATAAACTCTATGACAAAGATCGTTTAAAATGTTCTGAGAAAGCATTATTTTTAAGCTTTTTATGATTATCACTCATTAGAAACCTATGCTTGTCTATAAAACAGTGTCGTATTGTCTGTGTGTGAACTTAACCATATTATTTACTGTACACATGATAATATTATGACTAGTTAGCATAATTCTAAAAGGTATTCCCCGAAACTTATCTTGAACGTTACTTTCAAATAAATGAATGTCACAATTTCCACTCAAGTTCGAATGTATAATATTGTAAGGCCCACTTGCAGCTATTTTGCTAAATTTCAATTTAAACTAAAACTATATTTAGCCCATACAATAATGTAAAATTGACATTTTGAGGTAAGTAGTACTAGTTTTAGTTGAATAGAGACTTAGCAGATTTGCTGCAAGTAGGGCTAAATAAGTATTTCGGTGATTTCTCTTCACATTGTAGGTACCTTCAATGCGAAAAGATGACGCTACCTTTTAGCCTAAAGGTGATCGCACATATGTCAGCAACGTACGCGCTATTTAGGATTCGTTCTATTAAATTTTCAGAAACCTTGCATTTTTCACCAGCTCTGTACGCCCCGCATTTCATAAAGTATGGAAATGTGGCGCGTACGTTCTGACAAATGTGCGATCAGCCTAGAAATATTATTAAGAAGAAATTCGACACGGCCATTAAGATCTCAATAGCATCGCTCAATAGTTGTTAGCGTCCGCTCGGGTTGCGGAAGGCGCATGTTCGAATCCTGTCATAGATCTGAACAAAGTCGGTTTTTTTCTAGTAAAACTAGTAAAACATTTTCGTTAGATATATAAATCTAGTAATTTGATGCTTTAGAAAACAATAAAACAACATGTTTATTAAATTACCAATTTTTTGTTTTAGTTATAGAGATATGTAGTGAAAATGTGGATTTATTAGTAACGCATTCACAAAACGGAAAAAGCGACGAATGGAGCAACCATACTTCTCATGAGACTGATGATAATTTTCTAGGTATGTTAACATTTTTTTTAAGAACATACTTTACATACTTTTGTTTTGTACTTTCATTGTGCGAACAAAAATTAATAAAGAATTACAAAAAAGCAGTTACTTTCACACAACACTGAGTGTACAGTAAACTTGATTAAAACCAAAAGGGAAGATATGGCACTCGCGGCTCAAAAGTAATCTGCTTAAATTGTGATGCATGATCACAATAGGCTAGTTGACCCTTTTTGGAAAAATTTTTAAATAGTTAATAAATGTTCTATTAGACCGAAAAAAAATGTATTGTATTTTTTTGAGACCTGGAAAGCTACAAATCTTTAATTTTAAAATAGACTTTTCATGGACATACAAAAACGCTGTCGGCCATTTTAGTCTATAGATTATCTATGCTATGACGTTGACGGTAGTAAACAAAAACTCGTAAGCACGTAGAAAATAACCTATCTGTGTTTATAATAAAAAGAAAACATGATTTCTAATAGATACCACGAAAAATATAGTAATTATCATTATTGTATTGTACGAGAATGTAAAAACACATCCTTGAAGACTCCAGGAAAGTTGTGGATTAAAGTGCCGAAAGAAATTAACCTACGCAATACCTGGTTAGAACTTGCTAAAAGTGATCCTGCAACTTTATCGACTCATAGTAAAATTTATTTTTGCGAAGATCACTTTGATGTAAGTACTCATTGAATAATATTTTAAGTCTCTTCATTTATTATCAGTTTTAATAATAAAAGTTTTAAAGTTATGTATGACTGACATCTAGTTGTTTACTAAAAGAGACGTCACAATCATGGCGGATGTGGCGAACAGCGTTTTTAGTGTTTAAAAAGTATAGACTAAAAATATTTTTTTTTAATTAAATTTCTACAACAATCTTCTGCTTTTATGAAGTGAAATCGATATATTTAGGTTCCTTAGACCAAATACTTTAAGAAATAAACATTTATTTAATACAATTCGACATGAGTCAACTAGCCTATTCGCTTTAGTCACAATTGGACATTCAAACACGCTGCATGTGCACTCAATTAAACAATATTGCGTATATTCTGTGTTATGAAGATAAAAGAATTCCTTCGATGTTTTTATAAAGAACACAAATAGTTCAAGATCAAATAACAAGTTCCACGGCAACACTTTTCATGCGAAAAACTAATAAAACATTTTTTTTTTTTAAAAAACACTGTTTGTCTTGAATGTTATTTAATACTTCGCCATCTGTTATCAAGAAAAGGACAACAATACAGCTCAGCCGTTCGTAGAGAGAGAAAAGAAAACGCAGTTGCCAAGCCAAGCGATGCGGGCTCGCCGTTTCGCTCGCGCTGTGTTGAAGCGTACAGTTCTGTCTCGCTCGCTCGATTGAATGTTTATTTACAGAAGTGTGCGTGCGTGAGAGTTGCTAAGGTAGTTGGGTCGAAGCATATTTTATTTGATGCTTGGATGAGCGTACCGCATCTTCCCTTTTTGGTTTAATCTAAAACGTAAACTAGCTTATTTTTAAAACCAGCCTTAATAAAAAATCATTTTCTTAAATATGATAGAATTTGGGGTCGTTTAATTATTTTATTTATTAAAAGAAATACATTATAAGCTTATGTCTATAACAGTGTCTCATAAACCAGTATTAGTTTTCCCGGTCACTGCAATTCGCTTTCGAAACCCGCAGGTACGACTACTCAATCAACAAATATGAACAATAACAACAATGTCGGCCCAACACTGCGCCGAGCAATACACCAAAAGAGTGGAAACACTTCGTTCGCTTTTTTCGCTGATTTCGTTTTTCATATTTTTTATTTTAGTTTCATATCATGTCGATGTTGGTTTTTGTTATTAAAAGGGTTACAAAATATGTTTTTAAATGGAATTAATGTTAATTTGGTTAATTTTATTTCCAATTATTTCTGTCATAATATAATGCAATGGAGTTCAGGATTGTACATTACATAACTCTTCGCACTAGTTAAAGGTTTATCATGGTTTCTCTTAACGAACAATACGATTCCAATTTCTATTAATTTTCCTATTACAAACGCATTTCAAGAGTTCTTTGATTTGTTGGGAATTCTAAATAAATCATTACATGTATAAAATGTTATGTTTAAAATGTAACTAATTTTTTTTCAGTGAAAAATAATTTAAGAAGCGATCAAGTGTACCTGACTACATTACCGTCTCCCAAAGAGGATCCTACCAATAAAATACTTTTAAAATTAAAAAGCACCTATTCCACTCCTGTGTGGAAACAATTCGCAACACTCACACGAAGATCTCTTTTGGTATGTACCTTTTTTGGTTAGCGAGAATAGTAGAAAATATAAAATTAAATCGTTGAAAAGTATGTATGCTCAGCACTTCCGTAGACTGAACTAAATTGGATATTTATTTTTATTGTGTTCGTTATTGTTAAGACAAGGTCAACGATATTAAATACCCTAGATACACCACGTGCGCTCAAAATGTGTCCCAATCAAAAAGTGCTTGAACACGAATTAGGCACTTCTTGTTTCACAGTGACGCGCATACCGTTGAAAATTCAACATACCGCAGAGCTCCGTGAAAAAATGCGAAAAAAATACTTATAGTACATAAATTGACGTTTTTTATATGTATCTAATCCATTCTATAAACTGGTTTAATCTATACTTATAATAAAACTGTAGAGGGGTTAATTCTGTACATGAAATATATTTTCAAAATAACTATCAGGGGGTGATTAGTGATTAATACTGATGCCAAAAATGCAATCAGTAAAATTTTTGTCTGTCTGTCTGTCTGTCTGTCTGTCTGTCTGTGTGTATGTTCCTTATAGAAACAAAAACTACTCGACGGATTTTGACGAAACTTGGTACAATTATTGTTCATACTGCTGGGCAGGTTATAGTATACTTTTCATTACGCTACAATCAATAGGAGCAGAGTAATGAAGGGAAATGTTGGGAAAACGGGAGAAGTTACTTCATTTTTTAAGCTTCCGTCGCGTGTGCAGCCTTAATGGTTAAAGTTACATAGAAATCATGTATGACGAAAATATTCTACATAAAATTGTCTAAAAAATATCCCGCAACAGCATATGTCTATCTTTTATGGTTGACATACAATAACACGTGTAACTCCTGATAGCATAGCAGTTCGGATCATTCTGATTATATTTGTTTACTCTTACGTTTATAATACTCTCACTCATCCCCAATTTAAAAACGTTAACATTATTACCTATTCAATAAAAAAAGAATCATAGAAATCGGTGTAGAAACACCAAACTTATACATGAAATAAGCCATCGCGCCGTCGCACGTGAATACTGAATCATGCTATAAGGATTTATTTTTGTGTAACGGATAAAACAAAATGATCGACCAATGGGCGGTATCACAGTTTTATTTTGTGGTGATTTCCGACAAACCTTACCGGTAATACCACGGGGAACCCGAGCTGATGAGGTTAGGGCTTGCCTGAAAAGCTCTTATTTGTGGCGTGATATACAATCGGTGCATTTGACTATAAACATGCGAGTGAGAACTGGAGATAACCCGGATGATCGTGATTTTTCTGATATATTATTAAGGATTAGTGAAGGTACCTATCCACTGCTACACCAAGGAAAACTTATTCGGACGCCTGAGTTATGTTGTATAGTGCAATCCCAACAACATCTCATATCGTCAGTCTACGGTGACGTAACAAATATCTATATATATAAAACTCAAAGGTGACTGACTGACATAGTGATCTATCAACGCACAGCCCAAACCACTGGACGGATCGGGCTGAAATTTGGCATGCAGGTAGATGTTATGACGTAGGTATCCGCTGTGAAAGGATTTTGATCAATTCCACCCCCAAGAGGATAAGATAGGGAATGAAAGTTTGTATGAAACTTTGTCAATTTTAAACCGATCGGGCTGAGACATAATGAGAAATAATTTGCATGCAGGTATAAGAAGAATCATAGATGAATGTCATTGTGTATAATACAAGCCTGAGAACAAAAACTGTAGTCTACACTTCAGCTCTACACCGAAGCGAAGCGAGGGCGGGCCACTAGTAGAAAATATTTGTGATATTCAAATGCATGGTCAGTAATATAGCTGTATCTTTTCCTCGCGTCTGTACCTGCTATATTGCTAACAGCGCATTCAGAATTTCACGTCAAAGAAATAAGGTAAAAGTAAATGTAGCAATAATAATAAATAAGTCGTAAAATTTTACGAGCTTGCATTTTGAACTGTCATAACTCTTTGACGCATGCTTTTTAATTTTGACGCTATACAGTGTGCATTAAAGGTAACTTTCAATGTTTAAATAATGCATTACATTGTTTTTGACCCTGCGATCATCTTACGGAGCTCCGTGGATCGTCCAATGTACCTTTTGGACACGTTTCGGCCACTATTTTGTTCGTGTTGTTGTATCTAGGGTATTTAATATCATTGTGTACTACTAATATGTAATACTACTTACTACTTAACGTATACGCGAACGTTAAATACTTACCGTAGACGCGCAAACTACCCCGCCTACACTATGGCATCTACAGCTGCATCTGTCGACATGTAAAGGAGGCATTACGCATATGGCGCGATTACATTTGGTCGTTATTCGAATACGAGTGCCAATGGCATTCGGGTAAACGACTAAGTGTAAATGAACAGAGTCGAGAACGCCCGTATTTGGGTAATTTTCGTTGTGGTTGCCCGACACCGTCTTCCAGCATGTATTCCAGTGTAAATAATGCTTCGGGTGCCCGAATTCGAGTAATGTCTTTCGTGCACCCTAATACGGGCTAACGACCAAGTGTATTTGAGCCATTTTGTGGTATTTCTGCATGAACTTGTTACAAGCGAATACCCTTATATGTGGTATCTAGTGGTAGTGCTCTGTGGTTAGACGGGAGTGAGTGGTAAGCCTTAGTTTACATTAAGAATGCTGGTGCCGATGGTGTGTATTATACCTATATATTTTTTTTTCGCTTTGGTTTTCAGTCGATATGGCGGAGCCCGGCGTTCACGCTCATGATCACCGGCATCCACTGTTCAATGGGACTATTTATCGGCTTCCTGTTCTACAACATCGGCGGAGACGCGAGCCATGTCAGAGACAGCTATAACATGCTCTACTTCAGCCTGATGTTCCTCATGTTTACAGCCTTCAGTTCATCCGCTATACATTGTAAGTATTTCAAGGTACTTCATTTCGATGGAAATTCGCTTAGGAACAGGATTTGGATCTACAAATTTAGGATGGCTGGTACTTTACTCATGTATGCTACACCAGCAATTTGGGGTCATTGCCAGCTCTTGTTTGAATGCCCTAATAGCATATTTTTATTTACTGCCCGTTTTTTACATCAAAACGCTTTCTCACTTATAGAGAGTAACCAATTTCATGCAAGTATTACTTAGTCTATGACTTGGAGCGTTCTTTTTTGCTGTGCCTTGGCGCTTTTTTGAGATGACACAAGGAAATGGCGCAGTGATTTGCGCTTTGCTTGGTTGGTGTTAGAAAATTTGCTGAGATGCTCATATCTGCTCTATCCAAAAATTTTAAGTTTAATATCGGCATAACATTCTTGTTGAACCTTAAAAAGTATTCGCTCATTTCAGTCCCTCACCAAATACCAGTAGTGCGCCGCGAGCACTTCAACCGTTGGTACACCACCGGCGCTTACTACACCTCCACATTGGCGTCCACATTGCCCACACAGACCGTGTGTACGCTCAGCTACGCGTTCATAGTGTACTTCCTGACTGGCTTACCGCCAGACATCGTACGCTTCACGACGTTCTGCTGGACCCTGATGTTGGTGTCGTACGTCGCTCTCTGCATTGGATTGCTCAATGGATCCATATTCAATGTCAAGGTGAGTTATCTGTACTAATATTGTAAATTTGTTTGTTGGGAGAAATCTCTGGAACTACTGAACCAATGTTGAAAAGTCTCTCAACAGAAGGAAGCTAGATATTGCCGTGTAACAAAAACTATAATTTATAGCGTTTAAATGAATTTCAATTAACAAGTGATAATGAATTAAATGCTTTTTTCCAAAACAGAATTAGAATTTTAAATAACAAAGGACCCAATATGTGGCATTATTTATGAAAACTTTTTATACTTCATCAGATAGATATGATTTGATAAGGGTATTTGGACGGTTTTTTTTAATTATTTTAATTTAATTTAGTTTTGCACTTGAAATACTAAGGGCCACATGTACCAAATTTCCTAAATCAAATTATAAATTAATCTGGGTCCATTTTAAAACATCACTCAATATCTTTCAACTTTTTGAAATCAGTAGAGATAGAATGAGGCTTAATGACACAAGATTTTGTTTTAAATTTCACCCAAGAACTGGCTTTATATTTTTTTTTTTTTGTTTATAGCAAAATTTGTTTCAATTTTCAGAACGGCGTCGTTTTCGGACCATTTCTCATAATGCCGTTCACGATCTTCTCCGGTTTCTTCCTGCGGTACAGCGACGCGCCAGTGTTCTTTCGATGGATGTTCCACATATCGTTCCTGAAGCACGGCCTAGTTGGCCTCGTGTTCGCCATATTCGGCATGGACAGAGCGAAGATGCCCTGCTCAGACCTGTACTGTCACTACACCTACCCCAAAACATTCCTTCAGGACGTTGAAATGACGCACGAGAAGTATTCCTTGGCCATCGGAGCTCTTTTCGGAATCGGACTAATTGTCACTTTGTGTTCTTATATCATACTCAAAATCAGACTGAAGAATAAATGGTGATTAAGAATTGAAGAATCGCTATGATTGTGAGTGCCAAAAATTATAGTGTAAAGTGTATTTTTGTTTATGAGACTTTACAAAAGTAAAAGGGTAGCGTTTCAATAAACTTAACATTTTAAATAAATGATTAATTCTAAATACAGTTATCGTACTATATTTAATATACATTTGAACAGTGTAAAAACTAAGGTATCTTCTCCGATTATGCTTTAAGTTCGACAATACGAAGCAATCGTGTATTTTGTCCAAAATAGTTTTAGTTGCTCCTATTAAGTAATTTACTTTAAACGACTGTACGTGATTAGTGATAACTGTGTTACTGGCACTGCACATGGCTATTCGTATTTGCTATTTTGTCTTTTTGACAGCAGTCTCTTCCTTTCACTCCCTATATAGTATAAAAAAGACAACCTGCTGTCAATATGAAAAATAGCAAATACGAATAGTCATATTGTGAAGTCCCGGCAAAGAAATATAAAAGTTGCCAATAAATGAGCTAGCAAATTGCTTTCGTATGTTAAAAGACAGTCAAAGCATTTATAATTAGAACAGATCAATAAATACATATTTATTTAAGTGCATACAAGTAATCTTTATTTTTTTAAATAAACAAATATTTTATTTAGATGTTCAACGTGAATATGTTAAAGTAATATGTCAGGCTATATAATTTATATTGTGTGTGTCACCATACAAATAAGGTAAACTAAAATCACCCCGTTATGGTACAATTCTTATCAGTTGGTGTAGGATTTAAAAAATTGCCACATTAAAAAGGGTCTCGCAAAGTTAAAACCAGAGGCAGTCTCATTATTGCAAGAAGCCTGATGAAAAAATGTTTGCGAGGCCTTTGGTGATAGATCTTTGCAAGGTCCTAGTCTTATGTCAATCATAACCCCCTTATTAATAAACAAAGAATTAATATAAATTATTATTATAAGTGAATTAATAACTTAATAAACGAAGAACTTACTTTAACGCAGTGTTTTGTTCACATCAGTCATAATATGACATTTGCAATTATATGAAGAACAGAGACAAAATATAATAAGGATGTTAAGCTAAGTACGTATAGCGCATTCCAGGGTACGCGTATTCGGCTACGTGTTTTCTGGAACGCCATATAAGTACTTGTAACTTTGCGTACCTTCCACGAATTGCTATGATTATGAATAGCGCGTTTCAGGGCACGCGTGGCCGACAACGCGTGCCCTGAAACGCGCTATCCGTACGCAGCTTAAAATGAGTGTAAGCGTTTCAGTAATGGTAACCACGCACCTTCATGTCGCTTGATTAAGTGACTTGTCAGCCAGTGGCATGACAGAGACCACTCACGTTCCAGCAGCATGACTTGCCGTCAGTTCACACAAAGAAGCGAACGAGTCAACATGTCTTACACAGACGAGGACATTGCTCTGATAGGCCTGAAAATTTCTTTTTGTCTCAAAATCAGGAAAGAAAACTCTTCCAGTACCTCAGACAGTCGTCAGATGAAAAATCGATCCTTGTCCTTCAAAAATTTCTCCCCACACACGGTCACTTTTGGCTTAATCAAGCCTATTTGGTCATGCCGCTTGATCAAGGAGCATCTTTATGCTACTTGATCAAGCGATCACCTTTGTGAGTGGCCCCTATAAGTAGTTTGCTTTTTAATGGCACTGAGCAAAGCTCCTTGTATTATGGTAGCCACTCACCTTCATGCCACTTGATCAAGCGGCTTGACATCCACTGATCTTGATCCACTCATGTTCAAACGGCAAGACGCGCCGTCAGTTCACGCAAAGAAGCGAGCGAGTCAACATGTCTTGCACAGACGACGACATTGCTCGGATAGGCCTGAAAATTTCTTTTTGTCTCAAAATCAGGAAAGAAAACTCTTCCAGTACCTCACGAAGTCTTTCTTCGTTTTGTGACATTCCTTTTCCAATTTTATTTACATCCGACCTCTCTGAAATTTTTAAGAGAACCGATAGCTTGGCAATATGTGCCGCACTCACATTCAAGCGGCTTGACGGCATGACAGTCGCAAATGAAAAATCGATCCTTCCCTCAAGCGACTTGTCCTTCCAAAATTACTCCCCACTATTTCATCAAGCGACATGAAGGTGAGTAGCCACCATTAGTGTTAAACTTAGCCTAAATATTTGAATGATTGATGATACAAAATTAGATAACTTTAATTTTCGGGACTACTGAATGATCAATTAAATATAAAGAAAAAGGGTGATAAATAACTGTCAACAATATTATGCTTAATGTAGAAAATATGTTTTTATTGTTCGGTGTTAGATTACACTTGGACTAAGTGATAATACTTCGCGCCTGAATTCAATAAGTACTGTGTACTTAAACTGTGATGTAGAAAAAAAAAATTTAGTTACAATTATAATGAATTATGTTATAGGCCGATGTATCTTCTACCTTATAAATAAACATCTATAATATAATGGGTAAAATATTTCTTTCATATTTAAGGTAACTTGGAATTGAATACTGGAGTATTTTATAAATATTCATAGTTTTTTTAACAAAATATTTATATAGGTAACTATTCAATATAATATAATATTATTAAGTTGGTTAAAGATCGTGGATATAATTCTTTTAAATTCTTATATTAATACATTTATTTATTTAACAGCTTATACATATAGTCGCCATTATATAGAAATCTGTAGAAGTTGGTTGGTTGACTACTCTTCTGTTGATTAATTCCGGCCGCTTTCTCTCAACTTCTTGCTTTAATCTCATGAGTTGTTCCCAGTAAAGTTCAGAATCGATGGTCCTGCCTGGCGGTAACAGATCATAATGAATAATGGCCTTACAATAACCTTACAATATACACATAACATCCTCTTGTTGCGAGTGAACCCGGGTTTCGCCAGGGACTGTAAAGCCTAACCGGCCTTTGGCCAAGACCTTTTTTGCACGTTCTTGTCGTATGTGATCCACTTTTTATTACCAGTTATCAACTCCTTTAAAAATGGTTCGGTTTCATTACGTCGTAGTAAAGAATCACAAACGAGTACATGGTTCATTAGGTTTCTTTCAGTGAGCTCGTGAGACACCCAAATATCGAGCTTTTTTGTGTACCCAGCTTTTTTCAAATGCACCAAAACCGTTTTCTGATCAAATCCCCAGTTCTTCAGCTACGTCGTTACTACTAATATGCCGAATTTGCTCCACTTTTTCAAAAATGGCATCCATTTTATCCGTGACAGGGCGACCAGAACAACGTGCATCTTTGACATCAAATTTCCGGATTGAAAACGCTTACACCAAATTTGTGCTACTGTCACAGACACTGCACTAAGTCCATAGACATCACAAAATTTCATCGCAGCTTGAATGGTGCGATTCAAATCGTCTAAGATCCGGCTGCAGAATCAGTGTACCCATCGAGTGTTTGCTGAAAACCAAATTTTTACACATATTTATGATTAGGAGAATTTATATCCACCAGGTTGCCTATCAAAATGTGGCCGCTAGTATTTTTAATTAAATTATTAATAATTCATAATCCGTAAGAAATTTCACTGACATGTTTTTTCAATGAAATGTCGTCTATTTTACGGCAATATCTATGAAGACTCTGAAAAATCATGGTTGCCGTTGCGCACCTGGCCGCACCTCTTCGCAGCCAGGTGTACACAGGTATGATTTTGTTACATTTATACACCCACAACGTACATTCATATTTTATAAATCAAATTAAAGCTAATTTTTTTCTGTTCATTATTATATACGGTTGCCTAATTAAATTTGGCCGCAAATAAGGGTTGCTGGCTGTTAAATAAAGAAAATATTAAAAGAAGAGTGAAAGAGAGCTAGCGCGTTACACTACTATTCAGACGAGGATAGCAATTGCCAGCTGTCGGATAGTTTAAAGCCATTGCGCATGCGTCAGATGCTAGTGTTCTCAACGGATCAGTTGCGACTTTTATTCTAAGTTAAAAACCACGCTATTTTGGAGTACGTAATACACAACATAATATATTGCTGTTTCATTTGTGCATCGAAAAATGAAATGTCTTTGAAGAACCCTAATGACATTTATAACGAAACCAAAATCGATGCAGTTCAACATTTTACGTGCCTTATGTATGGACTCCCAAAGTGCCAAAGTGTAAATGCCGCAAGATGGTTATTATTCAACAAAATGTACGCTTCAAAAGAAAGTAGTGAAAAATTTATGAAAAGAATTAAAGGTTTTGACTCGACGCACATTCCACCGTGCTGGAAATCTTTAAAGCAAAAATTATTGCGGACAATCTTTGTTAATTTGATGTGGTTAAATGCTACTGAGCCGGATTGCATCAAGTTCAGCGCGGAAAATAATGGCTGGCTGTTGATAGATGAATTTTTAAAACCAACATGGTTCCTGGGAGACTCAACTCCAGCGCAAGTTGAGAGTGTGCTGTGTGATTCCACGAACAAGCCTTCCGATAATAACGACGATACCGACATTTGCGATGAAAGTGATAGCTGCGATGATAGTATGACTGAGAGCTCCGATGATTCAGATTTTTAAAAAAGAGTCACGGAAATATAAAATACATTTTAAAAATTTATAATTTACTTAAATTTATGAATATGTAAAATAAATCTAATACTTAAATAAAATCAAATCTTTTTCATACAGTACTTGCACAACACAATTTTTTTTACATAAATAACCTTGGTTTTATTCATCAACAATATCCATTTACGGATATTGTTGATGAATTAAATTACATTTTACGGTATGCCTCAAAATAATAAATACTCCAAGACGTTTCTTTTGGAGTATTTATTATTTTGAGGCGTACCTACTATTGTTTGAATCGGAGGTTGAGAACACTAGCATCTGACGCATGCGCAATGGCTTTAAACTGTCCGACAGCTGGCAATCGCTATCCTCGCCTGAATAGTGGTGTAACGCGCTAGCTCTCTTTCACTCTACTTTTAATGTTTACTTTATTTAACAGCCAGCAACCCTTATTTGCGGCCAGATTTAATTAGGCAACCGTATATAATAATGAACAGAAAAAAATTAGCTTTAATTTGATTTATAAAATATGAATGTACGTTGTGGGTGTATAAATGTAACAAAATCATACCTGTGTACACCTGGCTGCGAAGAGGTGCGGCCAGGTGCGCAACGGCAACCATGATTTTTCAGAGTCTTCATAGATGTTACCGTAAAATAGACGACATTTCATTGAAAAAACATGTCAGTGAAATTTCTTACGGATTATGAATTATTAATAATTTAATTAAAAATACTAGCGGCCACATTTTGATAGGCAACCTGGTAGATATAAATTCTCCTAATCATAAATATGTGAAAAAATTTGGTTTTCAGCAAACACTCGATGGGTACACTGATTCTGCAGCCGGATCTCGTACTAAAACTTGCTGGAGAAATGAACACAATTATGCGCAACTGTAAAACCCGAGCTCACGGTGGCCAGTTGGCTTACTGCTTGCTACTTACACTAAGTTCACAGTGGCCGTTAATCGCGCTAAAAGTAGTAGTGCAGTTTTTTACAAATAAGAACTTCAGAAGGTTTTGAAACAGCACAAATTCAGCAGCACATTCCAATATTTTATGTAGATTAATTTGTTTTTCTGACATACAGTTCAACTGACAAAGACTACCTAGTAATATTTTTGAACATTGTCTTTAATTTTCTTCTCTCTTTTTTAAATATAACTATAATTGTTATTTCTTCTTTCAAATGTTCAATACTTGTAAATGTATTCATTTGACATTGTGGGTTACCTACAATGCGAAAAAATGGCGCTGCCTCGTAGCTTAAAAAAGGCTAGAGAGAATTCGATACGACTGTCAGGGCCGCGGTAGCATAATGGTCAGGGCATTCGCCCGGATAGCGAAGGGTGCGTGTTCGAGTCCCGTCTGCTGCCTGGTCCGCATGGATTTTTTCTAACAAAGTTTTCTTTAGATTTAAAATAATATAAAATTATTACACTTTGTCAGTTAAACTGTGTTAAAATGTGTTGCATGTGAAGATTAATAATGGAAGCTACTTTCATTTTAATACACAAATTTTCGATACTTAAGTACTTTATCTCATGATGTAATAAAGTAAATAACAGAACGCATACAGTGAATAAACAAACGTAGATCAACGACATTCAAATTAAATATTGAACTAAAAATATTTCATATACGTACTTTTAAAGACTATCGATGATCGACACAGTGTGTTTTTAATATCATAAATAGTAAAGACGTAATGGTTTATTTTTTCTTTAATGTTTATTAGACTGAATATAAGTAGTGGTACAGTCACAGAATTAATGATATCTTAATATATTAAGTCGACATAGTCCATTGACTAGACCCATTGGTAACTATTACAGTGATGTAAATAAATAGATTTACAATGAATTGACTCATCAGAATTTATACATTGTGACAGTCACACCAAACCCAAAAATAAAGTGTTGTAACAGTAATTGCTTGCCTTTTTATTAATACCCTCTCAATTCTAAACAAAATATAAGCTAAATGCGGTAATATGTTATTCGCATGATACTAGTTATTCATTAAATAGTTTGATAACTACACTGGTGCACGTGACTCGTCTGCGTGGACTATTTACTAATGTCTCATCATTTTAGCAAGAAAACCCATACAGCCTCCGCTGTCTGTGTCCGTGAATTAGTTTAATTCATAAAGTGTCTATGACTGCACAAAAAACTGCTTTATAAACTTCATTCCAATGATAAAATCTATTATCGTGTTTGTCACTTAACTAGAGTTGTATACAAGTAGTGTTAACAACAACCGAAATAATTATTGAAACCAAAAGAAAAAAAAACAAACCCAATTTCTTTACACTAACAATAGATATATTTTGTTGTGTATGGACTTTTTGTAGAACAATTTAAGAGATACATTTCCATTATAAACTATATTTTCTTACAACTTTTATTGTTTTTGCAGTGCAGGGCAAAATGGCTCGTAGATGGGAGTTTTTTCCCGTCTAACGTGACACTTATTGTTATATTTTGGCCAATTCCCACAATAATTACAGAAATTATTATCTATATGTTAGTATTATGTATAAGCTATATTATTGTTAAGTTTCACTAAAATCATCCATTCAGTATTTTTTAGGTGAACGAGTAACAAAGATCCATACAAACGTAAGATTGAAATTAAAAGCGCAAGTGGGTAATATACAACTTTAAATCGTTGTAGATCCTAAACAGTCATATGAAATGAAAAATGGTGAAAGGAACTTAAAAATGATTTTCGATTATCTAGCTAGACAATGATACCCCACTCGACATATTACGTCAACTTTTTTTCTTTCTTTCTCACAATATGGCGCCTAATTGTCCCCATATTGAATTTCCATTACTATCATATGTTGAGTAGCACTCCCATGATTAAGACGAGTCGATTGACGTATGAATCATCAAAATCGATCCACGCGTTTGGTCTCTAGTGTGCCACAAAGGAACACTAAACATACTACACTATACCACCCTGTCTGCGCGTCGCCTACTAATGTCTCCACTGCGCACAGGCCTTTCCTATAGATGGATAGGGAGGTTTGGTGGGTGCTTTCGACAGCAAATGCAGCCGGAACCAACGGCTTAACGTGCCTTCCAAAGCACGAAGGAGCTCGAGATAATAAGTTTTTGATCACCCATCCAATGACCGACCATTGCGAAAGTTGCTTAACTTTCACAATCAAGTCAAGAACCTTTGTCTCGGAAACGCATAGAAGTATCGTTAAAATTTTAACCATATAGGTACTTAGATCTGTGGTCCCTTGAAGCTGTGAAAAAATCGAACTTCTAAATTAACTTGAAAAAAGATACGGCCGTTTATCTGTTTTTCTGTCAAGACGCATGGAGGTATCGCGTTTCAATTTCAACCATAGAAATACTCAGGCCTACAATCTCTTGAAGCTGTGAAAAAAGCAATCATCTAAATTAACGTAAAAGTATGATATGGCGATTTATGTTGCGTACCTACCTAAACATTTGTACGGAACCCTCGGTGGGCGCGTCCGACTCGCACTAGTCCGGTTTTTTTCTTTGATGTCAGTTAACAACAAAATGTCACCTTTTGTGCTTGATCTTTACAATCGCTGTGATATAATACTTATGTACTTCAAATGTAATACAGTTAACTAAGTTTGATGGGTTCGGACCCCACGTGATCGAGTCCAAATCACACTTAACCGGTTATTTTTAAAAGTAAGGCAATACCTTACTTGGTAGGACCTCAGCATGTGTTCCAACTATGGAGGTATCTCTCTTATCCAGGTCCCACTTAACTAAATTTCACTGTAATACATTAAGCTGCTATTTGTATACGTTTTTA